TGCCATGCAGGTATTCTGTGGAAAGCTGACAACTCAATAGCAGCAACATCACTGTCTACAGTCTTGACAAGAATGCGTGGACAATTTTCAGCAGCATGTTTAACATGAACAAACATACGTTCATCTGCCTCTTCCATACATAGCAATGGTTGCAGATCTACATACTGGTTTGTTACAACTCCGTCTCCCAGAGACTCTACAAACAATCCGTGGTTTGTGTAAATGTTCTCAACTACTTTGTTTACAATTAATGGAAACACTCTGATTTGTTGTCATCACATCTCAGGAATGTAGAGCAATTGTTTGGCATACTCCCGCTGGCTTTGATGACCCTCCTCACACCAAAGCCGCGGTTCGAACGCGTACCGGACTTTAAACTCTCTTTAAAGTATGTGTGTAGTGTAAAAAAATTCGACATCAATCGGAATCGATGCCGAATATTGACTAATATTGTATATTTTTGGAAAATATTTCAGCCGTTCCAAATCTCTATCCTATTCTTCCTTCTTCCTTTATTCTTTCACAATTTGCATTTATTCATACTTTTTATTCATAATTTTATACACTACACACATAGGCTAGTCAATAGGTTTAGGCCTAGAATATGCCTATTACTATATTATTTAAATATACAATTTTAATAGATAATATTAATTTAACATAGACATAGTAATTCATACACTATTTTTTGTGCTTTTAGACCAAGTGGTTGAGGAGCTATGATCATCATATGTTGTATAAAGGTCATTGATCTCTGACCCTGAATATTTGGTCAACGCAGCTACTAGAAGGTGGCAAAAATGTTTCAATAAATGTTGATTCCAAAAACCTAGGTGTAGCCACTATTTTTGTGCATCTAGGCGAACTAGTTGAGGAGTTATGACAATCATAGTTGTATAAAGGTCATTGACCTTTGACCCTGAATATTTGGTCAACGCTAAAAGGCAAAAATGTTTCCATAATTGTTGACCCTTAAAAACCAGGTGTAAATACTATTTTTGTGCTTTTAGAGCAAGTGGTTAAAGACTTATGACCCAGAACATGTTATATAAAGGTCATTGACCCAGAATATCTGGTCAACGCAACTATAAAAATGCTGCAAAAATTTTTCCATAATTATTTACGTATAGACGTACAAGAATATACAAAAAGTCCTTTTATTAGAGTTTGTTTAAGGTTAAACCATATTTAGCCTCTACTATATATATACATACAACTTCATGTTAAGGTCCAATTTTAAGGCTCTTTCTATGAATTTTATACTATACGGTACTGTATTGTAGGGCCTAATTCGTACTGTATAACAAAACAGTGTCTGAATTTTCAAGACCAACTCGTTTAATTTTTTTTTTAATGACATGGCAATTGTCGTATTTACGCAGAAAATATTCCAGTAGCACATAAAACTCACACTTTTATAGAAAAAAGCGTTGATTTTTAACTTCTATTTTCGGGAGGGGTAGGGCCTAATCTGGTAAAAAATTGTGAAGAATTTGATTGAAATGTCAAACTAAGACACAATGCCGTAGCATTTGTAAAGTATGAGATGGCGAGTTTCATGGCATCTAGCTGCAGTCAGGGAACAGTAAAATTTCACTGTTCACTGCTGCAATATTCTTGCTCATTTTAAATTGCACGCTATTATTTGCAAAAGGATGATAATGGCTCTAAACAAAAGCCTTATCAGAAGAATTGAAAGAAAGTTTGAACAAATGAATAGCCTTATTTACAACTGTAAACCAGGCATGGTTAGGCCATTAGTACTTTTTCATTTTTTAATTGTCTTCATGATAGAAACATTTCAAAATTCCATATCATTCCAAAAATCCCAAGATTTAATGAAATGTTAACAAAAAATTCCAAGATCCCAAGGTGTCATTAAAAATGCCAAGATAATGGGATAAATCCCACGCAGTGGTCACAGTGATCTAGTGTAGGCGTAGCGTAGTCCGCATTTTACTTAAACGCGTTTTTCTCTGAGTGAACACTCCTTACACTATCTGAGCTTCTCCACACTAAAGCAAAAACGTGTATACGTTAAAGAAAGAGTTACGCGTCTTTGCTCTAGTGTGAACAAGCTTCACATTAAAGCTTATTCACACTAGAGCAAAATGCGAGTTACGTAAATAGAAGCAACGTGCTCTAGTAGGAACAAACTTGTTTGCATTGTAAAATGTAAAAATGATTACATTTTTTCTTTCCAAAGACAAGAACAAAAACATCAAAAAAGTCTCAACTACAAAAGCACAAAAAGAAGCAAGAGTTAAAATGGAAAGCAAACGGATAGCTCTATAACCAGAATCTTGTTTTCATAGAGGTCCCCAACTTAAAACAACTGAAAAAGATTAAGATCAATAGAAGACACCAAAAGATTAAGCAATTTTACACCAAGAATAAAAAGTAAATAAAAAACAACCTTAACAACTTCCTCATCAATATTGCTAAGCAAGGCATAGACGAGTAATATTTTGATTCCCAGATTGGAATTGCCAATATGGCGTTCCCTTTTATGGCATTTGGCTAATTATTCCGAAGTAAAAATAGCGTGATAAATAAAGATTTATTGTAATGTGAATTGTTAGAGGTACAACAAAATGAATAAACCCTGGTATTATAAAAATGCAAACATTTATCAAAATGACCAAACAAATAACACTATTAGTTTTGGCATTGATAGTATGAACATCCTACTTAATCTTAAACCCTTTAGCTAATGACTTTACTTTTCGGGTTCTTAAAATAATTAACACGGTCTTTCCAGCATTGAGAGATAAGTTCACTGCCATATCATTGATATAGATGGCAAATAGCAGCGGCCCCAGCACGCCCTGGACAATATCCAGTAAGGTGGACTCACGTCTCAATATGCACGGATTGGGATCTGAATTTCAAGTAGATCTTTAAAAACAAACAATCAGAACTGTAGTCTTATCACCTTAGGCCTAATTTGAATTGGTCTAATAGGCAACCGGCGCCTAAAGTTGTTTGTATTTCTTAACTAAATTTATAAACCTCGCCCCACGAAGTGGGGAAGAGGGTACTGCAATGAGCTCAGTCTCTGTGTGTGTGTGTGTGTGTGTTTGTCCTTCCGGAAGCTCATCAGAAGTAACAACAGAGACAACTTGAGCGAATCGTTCGATCTAGTCATTTTGCTAGGCCAGGATGACTCGAGGGGATCGAGCGCTGACCGACTTGAGCGAACCGACCATGTGTCAAATTTTGGAAGCAGCCAGGAAGGCGTGTAAGCCCGACTGATGGGCATGCAACTGGTGGCCTATGCTAGACCTAATTTGGCGGATGGGTTAGAGAAGTAAGATGCAGATTTATAATGTTTTTAATATTTTCCGGCCGTATATCTCAATCTGCTGTCTCATTTTTTAAATGTAAAAAACAACTGTTAATATTGTACCCCTGTAATACAACAACAACCACCGGATCGAGCGCATCGACTATTATACAAAGATATGGCGCAACAGGGCGAGGGTTTGTAATCTCAGATTATCTTGTTCTCAATTGGTTTTACTCAAACTTTTGTTATCATTCCCTTCGTAGCTCATCAAAAAAATCAATGAGGTTAATAACTGCTATATCATTTGAGTATATTCATATAGTCATGCATGTAATACTCTTCTTATTTACTTTATGATAACAAGCAGTTAAAGCCTCTGCCTAAACGTAAAAATGTCACGAACAAATCGCTCACGTAAAGCAAAAAGCACATTTTGAAATAATACAGAATAGATTGCGTAAACTCATTATAAGTGTTATTGTTGAGGCATAAAATAATTTTTTGGTGTTCAAACATTTTTTATTTTGAAAATGCATTGTCAATTAAAACTTACTTTTTTACAATTTTATACCATAAAACAGGCATACATTGAAAAACATTAAATATTTATTATGTCGGGTAGAATAACCATAGAAATTGAAACAGATATGAGCATCGAAAAAATTAGTTTAAAACTATTATAATTAAACATATGCATCAAAATGATATAATTTTAAATTTAACAAATTTTCATTTCCGTTTATTACATAAATTAAAATGCAGAGCGAAACAATGGTTAGATCATAGGTCCATGGTTAGATCTCGGTAAAGATACAAATTTGATAAGCAACAGCTAAAATATAAACGTAATACACAGCCAGAAATAGAACCAGAGCTTTCGGACAACACTAGTCCTTCCTCAGTGGATATAGACCAATATTATAAAATGATGATAGGCCTATATGCTGGTGAGGGAAAGAAAATTATGAGTCCTACCTTCGGGAACTGTGATTTGTTGTCAATTCTTAATTGAGAGTTGTGGCTAGCAGCATCTTCGATATATACTGTTCCAGGACCACCGACCTCCGGTGCTGCAAAAGGGTTATTCACATTAATTGTGTTCATACAGAACTAAATTTGTAATCTCTGGAATTATCAGAAGTAGAATTACTCTTTACGTTCGTAATAATTTAATAAATTTCAATGCACTTACAAGGTTGTTTGCCTTCCTGGCAGGAATCAATAGAAGTCGCTGTTAAAAAATATTAGTAGGTTTGTTATATAACGGTTTGTACTTATAAGCATTTTATAAAATACAACATTCAATACGGTATCGCTATACTATATAAGACACTGTTAAACAATATACCAGTATATTTTTTTTATAACAAGTAGTCTAAACGTAAAAACAGATTTCTAAAAAGTAAATTGCAAAATTTAAATACAGAATGGATTGTGTAAGCCTTTTTTGTGTAAGTTCGTAAGTGTTTGGTCCTTTTAATTTATTTCAATATACAGTACATGTTAAAACAACATACAGTACTTTTTGTGAAAAGATAGGCCTAGCATTGCACACATTCATATATTGATTACATTTACATGTTAGAATTACCTGTCTGATAAAGGCTAAGCTGGAATCGAATGATGTGAGCATTATGCTATCCTCAAACATATATTATAATTATGAGAGTCAAAAATCGATACCGTATTTTATTTTTTTAATTTGTTAAATGTTTGTGTCTAAATTCGATATTTTATTTAATTAATTTATTTATTTCATATTTTCAATATCTCGATATTTTTTTAAATTTTATTTTATTAGTGCTTAATAAAATAATTGAGTCAAATTTCCCAAGAGCCGGCCGTAAGAGTTTACTTAAGTGACTCATAAACCATTACCGGGCCATGAAATGTGAAGATTCCTTTATATAGGCCTAAACAACGTCTTTGACCTACCAATGGTATATCCAAAAACTTGAATTGTCATAGAAACTGCAATGTGGTAGGTGAGTGGTTTAATGCGTAACCTTTTCACTTTGATTGGATCGTCAAGATTATTACGAACAATTTCGTTGCCATTAATGTTTCCGGAAAAATCAACTCGCCTCCCGAAACGCTAGGGAAGTATAATAATATGCAGTGTTATACGATAATTCTCTTATGATGTAGAGTTGTAGTTAAATGGTTAATTAATACATTAGTAATACATTAATTCCGAGTCGGTTACTTCGTCATCCTGTTCCACAGAGCTCTCAAATTTAGCACTGCCCAAGCCTATTATTTTATAGTAAGAATAGTGATTAGCTGTACACGCGTTTTAGCTCGTACACGTGTTGCAAACCTCCTATTTGATCTGCACAACAGATTTTCCAGGAATTTGACTTCCAAAACTTGGGACCCCTGAGTACTAAACTACATGAAGAAATTTGTTTCAAACACAAACAAACTTACTATTCCTTGAAAAAATGGCAATTTCTAATAATATTTACATTAATAATAATTACTTCAGATTATTATAATTTTTTGCCGATCTTGCATAAGGAATTGTTTAACAAATCGGAGAACGAAAATTAAAACTGTCTTTAAATTTCCATCAATCATAAAATTCAATACCAAAAAAAAAAAAAAAAAAATACTAAATGAGAAAAAAAAATTTAGCAATTCGATACACCACAACCTGTATAAGAACTAAGTAAAACCAAGCGTCTTACTATTATATTGAACATTCTGTCAATTTAACTTTGAATGGCATTTGTTTTGGAAAATCAAATGGGCCTGCAAATGATTATAGAATGAATAGTACAAAGTTCTAATTAGGCCTATACATTTCAGTTCAACATGATTTAACAACAAAGCCATTTATCTTCAAACTGTTTATAAACGAACTTTGTTTGAAAAAATGGATAACGACAATTAAAACTGTCTTTGAATTTTCGTCAAATATATAAAATTTAATACCAACAAAAATACTAAATTTGTAATAATTATAGAATGGATAGTAGCACCTTCTAATTAGGTCTATAGATTTCTGTTCAAACTAATTTCTTAACAAAGTCAGACATCTTCAAACTATTTATAAACGAACTTGGATTGGCGATGGGATGCCAAACTGAAAGTTACGGCATAATCTCATGATTTGTTTAGTTTTCTTGTAAACGTATTACAACCAAAATAATATTGTAAATGTTCATTAAAAAAAAACAACTACGGGGGTAAATGCTCGGATATGCGTCGCTCTCGAATAAGCGCAGCGGCATTTAATCGAGAGTATAATTATATTACCCTGTATGTAAACTAAACACTATGAGAAACAGGGCTTTAAATACAATGTATACAGTGTTAACATGATAAATAACACAATAACGACACAAACATTTCTTTATAAACGTTTATTTACGATGACGTAGGACCTGTGATAGGCCTACCAAACTATGGGAATACGTGAGATGGTAACAGGAAAACAGGCATGGAAAGTGCCACGCCAATATTTTTTTTATAAGCACCGCTCCCGAATGAGCGCCGCTCTCGAATAAGCGCCGTGGCAATTATTGTGAATGTGGTAGGAATTGTAGGCCTATAGGTTTATGTGTTTAATTAAAATAAAGGTAGTGACTAAAATAAAATACCATTTCATTTATTTCGTCACTTGATATAAAATACAGTACATCATAGAAAGCATTTTCATTTAAAGGTAAATTTTCATTTTTTTTAAATGTTACCTTATATTCCTTGTAACCTTCTCCATCATTTTCTTCATACATTAAATAATAGGTTTTGACGTACTCTTGACCAGATCCAGGACAGTTGCTAGCACAGCCGCGAGTATCCAGACCACTAAACATCACGGTATCTTGGAAAGTAACTTGAAGGTACTGCTCGTTAACATTAGTACGGGTATCTCCGCGCCAAAAGTGCGAGCTACCGTTAATACGTAGACCATAACTGGGAGCATAGTTGGAGTTGGTTTGGCTTCTTGATGAAAGATCAGACGGGCTAACAGGAAGCACACCATCTTCAAGATCTTTGAAGATAACAGTACAATAATAATCACAATATATAAATACTAATTGTAGGCCTAATAATAATAATAATAATAATAATAATAATAATAATATTGATAATATGATGATGATAATGACGATGATGTCAATGATGACGACGACGATGATGATGATGATTACGAAAATGATAATGATAATAATTATAACAATAATTATTAATTTAGAGCCACTTCAATTAAGTGTACTCTTCTTCTACAAAACTGAACAAAACGACAAGAACAATAAAATACAAACCAAAAACACTAAATATCTAAAAATATTTACAAAGAAAGAGAAATTCAATGAATGGATCTCAATATTAAATGTTATCTACATCAATTGCTGGATGAGAAAAATTAAAAAAACTAGCAAAAAATGTCTAAATTTAAGCAGGAATGCTGACATTCTTTTGCACAAGACGATCTGAAACACATTTGGATTATGTTACTTTTGGGGTAATGATACTTTAGGGTCACTTCATTTTGAACACGTCATTGGAATCGTTGAAAATATTATTGGTATAGGCCTACTATATGTATATATATATATATATGTGTGTGTGTGTGTGTGTGTTGTGTGTGTGAGGTGGGGGTGTGGGTGTGTGTGTATGTCATCGTAAATCCACGTGTGTTCTTGAAATTATACAAAAGACGTTGAAACAAGGAATTAAAGCAATGAGTCATGTGGACTATAGAACACTAGTTTATATATGTGTATATGTATGTAAATATATGTATATGTATATATATATTATATATATATACTATATTATATATATATACATACATACATACATATACATTACACATCTAGATGTGTATAAGAGACAGACTATATTTAGAAAGAAAAGGCAATTTTCTTTTCAATGGAATTTATTAACAGTCAAAATGAATTGAATTATGTCCTTGAGTAAGGTAGTTTCTTTACAATGTTTCTCTCCACCAAGGAAGATAAATGGGTACCAGGTGGGATTGCTTGCTCCTGTGCTGATTACAGCATATGGACCCAATGGCAAGGAATAGAAGCGCTCCCTATTTAAAATAAATGCACAATATAAATAACGAATGAAATTTAATTGTGACTGGACAGGACTTGTCAGAGACAGAAGACAGTTGACATTCGTAATATAAATGATAGCACACCAAACACTGGCCTTTTGAGCTGCTATTTTTTCATAGATAGACTAATAGTAAAAGTAAGTTTACCTGTTGTTGTAATACGTGTTGTTGTAGACATTGTTGATGTAGCAATTTCTGCAAAAATAAGTCAGTTTATAAAAATAAATGATTTCAAATAAATACAGATTTTTTTCTGATATTTCATACCTTTGACACTGGTTTTTTTCACATGACTTAAATATTGCATTTGTAGAGGATGATGGCTCAATTCATCTCAACATATGTTCCCTCTCATTTATATCAGAATTCAGAAACGTGTACAGTATATTGCTGT